TGGAGAAAAGGAGACTGAGGGGAGACCTTCTTGTTCTCTACAACTACCTCAAAGGAGGCTGTAGCCAGCTGGGTGTTGGTCTCTTCTCCCAAGTAACAAGTGATAGGGCAAGAGGGAATGGCCTCACATTGCACCAGGGGAGGTTTAGATTGGATATTAGGAAAAATTTCTTCACCAAAAGAGTTATCAAGCATTGGAACAGGCTGCCCAGGGAAGTGGTTGAGTCACCATCTCTGGAGGTATTTAAAAGATGTGTAGATATGGCACTTCGGGACATGGTTTAGTGGTGGACTTGGCAGTGCCAAGTTGGACTTGATGATCTTAAAAGTCTTTTTCAACCAGAATGATTCTATTTATTCTATTCTATTCCTTTTGGTTCCTTCTATCTATGAAATTCTTGGCCATAAAACCTGTCGGTTCTCTGTCTTTCACTTCTATACTTCTCAGATACTGGAGGCTGGATTGTGAAGGCAGTGGGGAGTAAATTACTGCCTACACCATTAGAAACGCAAGTAACTGCTCATTTAAAGCAATATTCCAGTGTTATTGAAAAGAACATCTGCTTTATTGCATTTGTGATTCAGGGGCTAATTAGAAATAGTCTGTGCAGACTTTTGAGTATTCAGATGTACCAGAAATAACTATAAGGTGTTACCAGCCAGCAAGCATCACACTGTCAGCCTCATCTCAGAGTTGTTGTTCCAGAGGATTTCTCAGCTTCAGAACTTAAATAGAAACATTGGTGGGAGAAGTACGTTGTGTACGCCAGGGCACTGCAGGCACCTGCAAACCTTCGTTGTTTGACGCAGCGTCACCTGGGACCTCCACCCGTGTACCCCTTGCCCCTGGTCCACAAACTCTCTTCAGCTCAGCCTTGAAGAGCCTTCCTGCAGGTAGCTCTGTCTCTGACCCAGTCTTGAGTCCTGTTTCTGGCTGGAGCCACCTGACAGGCATGCCTGTGCCCTGCCCTGTGCCTTGCTGCTCTCGCTCCCTGGCTGGACTTCCCAGGTGAACCTCAGGCCATGCATTTGTCGTGACCACCTCCCTACCTTGCTGCCCTGCTTGGTGCCAGGGAGGGATACTGCCTCAAACTGTGCTGGGGCCACCCCTGGCTGACATCTCACCTCCCTTAAGTGAGCAGCCCTGCTCTCCCTGCTACCTGAACAGGACAGCAGGTAGCAAAAAGCAGTTCCAGAGGTGTATTTTTTTAAAAACATTTATTGACCAATGCCACGTTAGGTATTCCCCTGAAAATTCAAATACGAGTACTGTATTGCACACAGTCTACAAACATTTTCATGTGTTTTTCAGGAAAGACACACTAGTCCATACTATGATTTTCTTTTTTCATTAGCTGAGTGGCAACTTCAAGACCAAGAGGTCTGGTTTCTGTTCTTAAGGATAGGATCAGAAGTGTACTTTTAGCAGGCCCCTGGAAAGAAAGAAAAATATACTTTAGTCCTTGTAAGTGAATTTGCAAAGTGCTTTAACAGCTTTTTAGCCTTCAGTGAAGCTGTAGCTACAACCTTCCTAGGGCACTTCTGAATCACAGTTCAAGATTAGGATGGGAGGCTGCAGAAGTTGCCGTTTGCATTGCTCTGCATCTGTTGGCATAGCACTTGTGCAGCCTTTGCGAGTCCCAGCTAGCCATGAGTTTTCGGGTTACGTGAGCACATAGGCATGAGCCCACAAGCCAGCTACTCTCCCTCTGCTAAAGTAAGCAATACGGAGGGGCAGGGGGCAGGGATGCCCCTAACAGTCCCAACTGCTGCTCTGTAGTGGACAACAGGCTCACACAATGGTGTGCTGTTCGGAGGGTTTTAGCTGCTATTTCTTGTCCAGCAGTGCAGAACACGTGCGTTACTGTGGCAATCCCCCAGTCCAGGTCCTCAGGCCTCGCTTAGTAAAGGGCTGTTCTGCAAGCAAGGCATTGTGCCTGTGAATGTGTGGACACTTCGCTGCCAACTAAGAGGGATTTCTGCCTCCAGCGTAGCCCTAAAAAATTATCTGCCTATCTCATGGACAGCATATGAGCTAGAAGATCAGCTCCCATGCCTCCAGAAAAAATGTCTCAAAAATGGGCTTTAGACATGCTCTGTTTGCATGTATGTGGCACAACTGCTGACTCCCACTGCCAGCAGACACAGCTGGAACTGCTGCTCAGAGCCCCTTGTCTCTACTCCTCAGACTGCCCAAGACACAAATCATGGTGGAGCCAAGAAGAGTGAGAGTGCTCCTTCCTGGGGGCAGCTTCTCCTAGGATAGTGCACAGACCTATGGTAACATGCTGTTACCAGGTGGACAAGACAAGTGTTTCCAAGTCCAGAAACACCAGGTTGTTACACCCGTCCCTGTCCTATCTATTAGAGTGACAAAGCTGATCTTCCTTTGGTAGTGTGCCAGTTTCAGCACACAGGATTCCTATTAGGGCAAAATTAAGGCTGCGGAGCCACCCTGTAACAGCTTCTCTCTCCTGTGTAGACTTTGCAGCTATTTTCCTATTAGATACAGCATTAAAAAAAAAAGTTGCTAAAAGAGTACACCTTAGTTTGCTACAGTTCTGTCACATTTACAGCAAATACAACCAGCTACTCTGCAAGCTGCCAGCACAGTCATCTCTGTGACTTTGCTAATTAGCCCAAAGTACCTGACTGAAGCACAGGCTGGAACTGGCCAGACATGCAGATTTCTTCCTGCTTCTGACGCACAATGCGCTGAATGGCTGGGGGGAGGCCACGGGGATTGCGTGAGAAGATCAGGGAGTAGCCATCATCACAGGAGCCATCCTCCTTTAGGCTGCGGCAGGCATAGGTAATGGCATAGTTATCATAGTCGGTGTCAATCACCCAGTAGTTGTCCCCTGAAACATCAGAACACATGCGTTTGTCACGGTGGGCAAAACAGAGCAGAGGTGGACCTAGTCATCCCGCAGGGGGTTGCCTGACCCCAGCACATGGCAGGGATAGCATCCAAGAGGATCTAAAGTAATCTCCCACATCCAGCTTGTCTCCACACATGAAGTGAAGAACTGGGACACACAGGGGATCTTGAGACCGTGTTGCTTCCCGTGATGCTCAGTGCATTTTTACCTTTGGTTTCTTAAGCTAGAAGTATTAGGAAAACTAGGACTTTCTGGGTTTTCAATTACAAAAAAAGTCACTCTATGTTTCTCTCTCAAGCCTGGAGGTGTGGGGCATACTGATTAAATTTTGGCCATACAAAATTACATTACATTTCCTATACAAGAAGCCTCAGCAAAACATGCCTCCTGTTTTCCAGCCTTGCTTAACTAAGTGCATTTTGATGTGGCTTACCTGCCAGTATTAAGTGAATGTACTTCTTTCTTAATGCATTAGCAGGCCAAGTCCTGCCAACTGCCACAGCTGGAGTCCCACAGCTATGGGAGACTCAGGCACAATGTACGGGGTGTGCAGGGTGCATAACTGACGTTCGGCATGAGCAGTTTCTGTAAGGGCACTTCATTTAACAGCTGTACAAAATCTGTGTGTGGCCCATTGCCTCTAAGCTGCATCCTCCCTGTTAATATATATGGTGCATAGGTGGGATGTCTGGGGAGTCTCTGGATCCCGCCCCTTCTGTGGAGATAAAAAGCACTGCTTGAATAAAGCGTCCTCCCAAAAAAGAACGCTTTGTCTCCACTTCGAGCAACCTGAGCTCAAGTGTTTTTCCTGCTCCTATACTGAAACACACAAATCTAGGCAGCTGTAAGCTATCCGCACTGGGCGGGCTGAAGTTCACTCACCACCGCTGGAGAGGTAGCTGGCCAGGCCCTGGTAGGTCATGTACATTTTTGCTGGAGTGGTTGGGTCGGGGACTGTATACTGAGCAGCCATGTCAGCACAGATCACCCAGAACCTGCAACGAGATCCATGAGACTGAAGGTAAGGCCCTGCAGCGTGTGAGCTTCAAATGTTTATCCCTCACCCAGGAAGCAGGCTATGCTTCAGCACAACTGCCTTGGGCATGGGCATGGCCTTTCTTAATGCAAAGTCACTGTCATTATGTAATGCAAATCTGTGACACGCACCCGCCCCATCACTGACAGCGCATTGCTGCTGTCTGGTCCCAGCCTCTGCTGTGCAACTACTCTGCGGCTGGGGCAGTGCTCCGGCTCCTTCAGCTCAGCAGGCTTTTTACCATCCATTTCTGTACAAGTGGACAGCCACCAAGCAAAAGGATGGATGCCTTTTCTTGGCTCCCTGCTAGCAGTTTGCAGAGTGAGCTGACCTGCATTTGGGCTCATTTGCTGTGTCCCCAGCTGGAGGCGTGGAGTTGGCTCTCCTCTCTCTAACCCTTCCTAGCTCTTTTGACACAGGGATGTCTGTTACAAGTACGGAAATAATTACAGCCCCTCTGCTGCCAAACTAGTTGAAAGCCTTCACACAGGCTGTGGGAACTCTGCAGGTGCCTGAATAGCCTATCTTTAACGTTGGCATCTGTGTCTTAGCACAGTTTGTCAGGCATTACCTAGATTTGTGAAACAGTGGAAGGGTCTCCATTCCCTTCCTTGTGTGGGCTGTGCTTCCCCTTTACCCTGCCACTGCAGAAATAAATTTCTGGCAGCCCTGAGACCCCACTCGATTCCTGAAGAGTCCTTTCAGGAATCTTCCCACCCACACTGAGTGACATGCCTGCAAAGCTTCATTTGTCCCATCCCAAAATATCCTGGAGTGCTGTGCTGTTAAGACTTGAAAGGTTCATGGCCACTTGCTCTACTCTACTATTCATGCAGTTAGACAGTTTTTGATAGTTTAGGCACAACAGAACTAGTGCTAGCCTACTGGAAGCCCCAGATTTTCTTTTCTACACCCAGAAAGCTAATCACTTTACATGCTGTAATTTCTTATATTGCCATGTCCAACAGGCAAAACTCTTAAGCTTACTGCCATCTGTCTATTCAGGCATCACAATGGCATCCAACAGTTATCCACGTGTTTTCCTCAGAAGTCCATCCAATGCTGTGTTGAAAGATCTGTGAGAGTCGTTGCTCACTTACACTCCTCTCCTTCCCCTGAACCTCTGAGTGAAATGAGATCTGTCCTGCCGTCGCAGCCCCACAGGCTTCATGAGCTCCTCTCTCTTGGTTGCAATTCATTTACATAACCACTCCATCATTCAAGACTTCATTTTATAATTGACTTTTGTAATGGACCCAGACCAGAGCCAGGCTGAGAAGTAACCCAGGGCTCAAAAGTATCTAACCTCTGGCTTCTAATATATTACCTTGATTTAACTTCCCCTTTTGATGAAGAAAACCCAGTCGTGTTGTGTGCTCAGGATAGATCACCATCCGCGTCCCACTTCTCTAGTACCTCACGGCAGCAGCTAGAGCTGAAAATCAAGAGAGCTCACCCAAAAAGCTTCACTCGGCCTTTGGAAGACGCTGTCATTGTGCCATCTTCCTCCACGGTGTACTCAGCAGAGATGTTGTCCTGAAGGAAAAGTCCTTCTGGATCCTTCTTGGCCAGGGCATACCATTTTCCTGCATACTAACATGAAACACTATTAATATCTGGATTAATCACCATGGCAAGATTAGCACAAAAGTGTTTTTGTAAACACAGTGCCCTTCTAAGTACCCATTGCCTGGCCTATGGAGAAAGTCTGAGTTTGGGTGGGTGTGTAGCACACAGGTCCTGCTGTGCTGTCGGACGAGGAGGAGTGGTTCTAGCAGCTCTGCACTTCTGTGTGCCTGTACTGGTGGTCACCTGAGACATTCCTGTCACAGAGACCCCACACTGAAAGCTTCTTCCATCCCAAGATGCCTGCTGGGAGTCAGGCTGGTTCTTCCCTGTTCCCGTTAAGGCCCCTGCTTCTCTGTGGAAGATGCCATCAGCAATACCAAATTGCAGCCACAAAGACCTCAGAAAGCTGGCTGGAAACACTCTTGTGGCTGCCGGAGGCCACACTGATCTCTGATGGTGAAAAGGTTCTACCCAGCAAAGCAGAAAGTGATGGCCCTCTGCACTATGAAGAGGAAAGGATGTGTCGGGGAGGCTAGCAGCAGGGGAAAATGAAATGAGATTAAGGGGAAGAAAATTTCCAGGAAAAAATGGGTCTCTGAAAATGTACAAGCAGTTTTCAGTAAAATGGAAACAAGATTTAAACAGGTCCTGACAGACAGGAAGGCCCTCAAAAGTTAACATTTTCAGTACAAATATTGAAAAACGCAGAACTTAGCTGTGTTAAATTTGATTCTTCAGTGAAGCTATTGAGATCTGGTTTGCAAGTTACATGCTTAAGCCTGAAACAGACTCCATAATTCCCAGATACAGAAGCCTGAGAAAAAAGTTTGACTTTTTAAAACTGGGATGTTCCCCAAGCTCTCCCCAGACATGGGTTTGTTTCCAGCAAAACCAATCTTGTATAGAGGAACTGCTGGCCCCAACCCCAGCTATGGCTGGAAGTGATGTTTGCTGGGGAACACTCAAAATAGGTACTGGCACACCTGTCTGGACCTTTCCAACACCAAGTTAGCCCTGATTTCCTTCTCAGAGGCAGGCAGACTAAATGCCGTGTTTAAACAAGAGTCAGTCTGTGTTTAGGATACCCAACTAGATAATTTTTCAGCTTGCTATGACTCCCAAGAATGGCTGGTGGGGGATGCAAGTCCCAGGGCATGTGTTTGGGCTTTCTTGCTGATGAGGATCTAAATTGTTTCATTCATGTTTCACACAAAGCTGAGAACTGTACGAAGCTTTGTGCTAACAGAAGATGACATCTAACAGAATAACTTCCTTGACTTTCAAGGCTGGTTTTACCATAATGCTCAGAAGCTTAAACAGTAGTGAGAAAGGCAAACTACGGGAACAGTGTCTGAGAGACAGCATACAAAAGAAGTTAACTTCTTGGTGAGGAACCCCTTTAGATTAACACAACCTATAACCTGGAAAAACAGTTTATATATGAAGCTTCTTCAGATATACTGTTGAAGTAACCATAATTACCCTTTTTGGATCAAAATTGTCTTTCACAGAGAAAGACTCCACTGCACAGGTCTGAGCTAGGCTATATTCAACAGTGGAGAAGATCGAGGCCAGGAAAACATACTGTGCGTATTTCATTCTGCAAGACAAAAGCAAATGTGGAGTTTTATTTCATGCATGTGGGTAGCTAGTGCTGTGCCTACAGATACATTCCCCTCATTTTAAAACTAGTTTCTTTCCATGCTGAGTAGAGCACCAGCTCCTCCACTGAGAAACCACTGGGTCATTGTGGTGCCTAAATCCAGCCAAAACTGAGCATCAATGGCAATTACTTTGCAAGAGTGTTTTGCTTGTCAGTAGAAGTATTGTGGTTCATGATATTTTTACATTATAAATCAAGCCAGACTCTGGATAAGGTTGGTAAGAATTGATAAAAATAATTTGATTTTAAAAAAAAATTTGTTTTCACAAGAAGAATAATGTTCTGGTGAGCTCTCGTAAAGCACTGTAGGTTTTAAGGATGTTGTTTCTAATTATTTGATGGTGGGTGACCACTTTGCTTTCAAGCCAGCAAAGCTGTGTTCTTTGTGACCAGTTCTCATCATCGAAACAGGCTCTTCCTAGCTGCCTACTCTAATGGCAAAATACATCTCAATATGGTCTGCCCTCAGACCATTCCCTCTACAAACATGACAGATAATACTCAGTTTCTAGAGGCTTGATCTGCCATTGCAGCACAGCTACAAGGTGGCCATGGCTTTATTTGTCTCCTTGGGTATCCAGGCTAATCTGTATCCCAGCATATTTGTTTCTCACCCTTGGGAAGAGAGCACCTGCATATACATTCTTGCAGAGTATTTGACCTTGAATACCTGTTCTGATGCCAAGATAAAACAGTTGCCTGAAACATGCCTGCAGCATCCAAGCTGAGCTACCAACCCAGGACTTCCACACACCCAAGCAGCTACTCTGTTCCCAGCTGCTGCCATGCAAGCTGCACTTCCCTGCTGCAAGAGATGCTAATCTGGCCCGCCTCTGCTGAAGAGAAACCTACCTGCTGGGGTAGAGATGTTGGAGATCCCTGAGACTATTCTGCTTCAGTCTTTGGGCTGCAGTCAGCAGGAGAGTTTTGTGTCAGTTGCCCTCCAGCTGCCTTTAAATAATGAATCTGCAAAGTCACTAATTGGTTATTTTTGCTCGTGTGCCTGAATAAAACGCTTAATCTTGGATAATCCATTATGTAAAAACCAACTGTAATCCTCATGCTGGTGGGTCTGACTGCTATACTAATACAAACACAGCTTTTACATAATGGAAAAAAGCTGCCCAGAAAGCTAATAAGTCTGCTGATGTGATTGTACCACACCTTTGTCTCATTGAAGTCTTTCTGTTTCTAACACGTGTTAGGAGAATAAGCACAGAGCATTAACTATAGAAACTCATGGACTATACATACTCATCTGCATAGGCACGTGTTCATATTTGATTACTTGCATGGGGTAGATATATAATTAGGTCTTCCAGTATCTGCATCATTAAATTAAGGTGATCCTTGCAAGAGTAGAAAGATGTTATGCGTTATCTACTGGGGGTGGGGGGGGGTGGAGAAGTGCAAAAATAAAGATTTTGCCTTCATGTTCACATCAAAATCTTGGAGTCGTCAGTTCTCCTGTGCACTGAAATATCTTTCTACACATTCTTTCCAGTTCATCTTGTCAACATTTCCAGTTACACAAATACTATAGCTCTCTCCTTCCCAAGATGTTCTTCCTAGAAGCCTCCCATGGGGATGCAATAAAGCACAAAAAGATGAGAATGCAGAAATGGCTAGAAAAACATTTTGGTAGGAAACTCTGTGCCTGCCATTCTTACAATTTCCCCAAGTGCCCAAGGAATTTCCCCAACTACAAAGGCTGCCCATGTACTCTTTCTACCCAGGCTCACCTGGGAGATCGAAGACTTCAGACCCTCATTTAGGAGTTGCCAGCACTGGCAGTTACCTCTCCCACTGGGTGCTGGGAAGCCTTGGACATACCCACTAGGGATGACTATAGTTCCTATGGAGTAAGCGCAGGGAGTCCTGAATCTCCTGGTACTGATCCACCCAATCTGGACATTCAGAGTAAGGCTAAAGCCTTCTGGATATGTTGGGTTTGCAGCAGAGATCACTTACAGCCGCTTGCCCAGGCTCGCCCCGTAGCTTGCAACCTCACCCCGTAGCTAGTGTGAACTGTGTTGCTTTCCAGGCAGTTTGTTTAGGGTTGCCCGTTATGTGGGAAAGACAGTTCTTTCTCGCTGACAGAGGAAACTCTGCTTTGGCCTCTGTGCATCTTCCACTTATGTGGAGGGAGGCAATGATGCTTTGCATGCACACATCTGGCAGAGGGCCTGAGCATATCTTTTTCACACCATTTGCATGGCTTCAGAGGTAGCCTGGGCAAGTTGAACTGGGACAGAAAGGTGGGAGCATCCATCCCAGGCCAGGGGTGACCAGGAGCAAGTGGCACAGCATGCCCCCCTCCACCTGATGGAGGGGCTGGGTGCAGCCTCCATGCCTTCCCCAGCCATGGTGGGGCCACAGCATCACACCCCATGCTCTTGGCTCTTTATAAGCGGCTTGCTTTGGGGCAGGTGGAGCACTTTGGAGCTGGCCGGTGTTAGGCACAATGGCCCCTTCTTCTCCCTGGTCATTTTGGCTGGGTTTATCCAGGGACACCAAGATCAGGAGGTGTGGGGAGATGGCACACACCAAGATGCTGCGATGAGGTACTGGCTGGTTCGCGTCCTGGGCGCTGTGGATCTACCTCATCCTACCTGGACCCCTTGGCCTAATTTTCTAGAAAGATGCCAAACAGCCATTTGCCAAACTAATCCTTCAGCACCATATGTACCGTGCTCCAGGGATGAGCAGGGTCCTTGAAAGGATTGCATAGCACTGAGTGTGAAGATAACCAGCTCTGTTAATTCAGGCACAGCTCGTTACCTGTGGCCTTGCACACACACTGTACTGCCTGTCTTCAGCTCCCCTTGCATCTTCTCCACAGCAGCATTTACTTAATTTAGAAGTGAAAGGAAAATCAACAGAAAGCCCATTTCATTTCTTTAAAATGCTTGGCCACTTAAAGAACAACATAAAAAGTAACTTCTTAAACTGCTTTTTCAGGGCTAGATTCCCACTAGATTTTCAAAGGACTTTCCTCTGACACTGAATCTGAGTGCAGAAGTGTGCTTTTCCACTCTGGCATAGGAATTTGAGACAGAACGAACTGCAGTGTTTTCTGTAAATTAGAAGGGCTTTGAAACATTTATCACTTCATCTGTTTCCAGCAAAACAGATTAGTTTATGTCCATGTGAGACATAGGTGACACTCGAAGCCATGCTTAGGTGACCACTTAATCCCCTGGGGATTAGAGACATGCTAATAATAGCTAATCACAGCACAAGATTTTGGTTGGTGACCATAACATCTGTCACTGCATTATTTGCTGTTTGGGACAATAAGAAAAAAAAAAAAATCAAACTAACCTTCATTTTCACAGTATCATGGTAATTTTTGCTGGGCATAGGAAAAAAAGGGAGGCATTAAAGCATTGAAGCATTTTCCTGGGCCTTTTAAATGTGATGTAACATGAAGCGGATTGTATAAAAACAAAGGTGCACTGCAGGATCTGGTTGTCAAAGAAGATATCTAAGGGTGTATTCCATACCTGCTCGTCAAAACTGGCTGTTTTTTAATAGAAGAGGTGACCTGACCAAATAAAACATATATTCAGTGTACTGGACTCAGCACAAGAGTGACTGGTAGTTTTAATGGCCTGTGGTAAAACAGGCATGCAGATGAGATGATTAATCTTATCTTCTGCCCTATCCTATGAAATATAGCAGTAGCAGTTTTGGATTTCCTACCCCTAACAGCCCTCCTTTTTCTTCCTTATTATTGGAATAAGCTTTGGGTAAACTGCTCTGGGAATTACTGCAATTGCACTGCTGTTTTGGATTTAGTCACCTGTGCTAGCTCAGCAGCCAATGGCACAGTGTGAGATCTCTGAATAGCCTTCTGCATCAGGCATTGAGTTCCCTGCTGTCCAGCAGGCAATCAAGTTGTGGGCTTATTTACCAGAGTGCTGGAGAACAACTACATGTAGATGCATTTTGAGTTGCCCTTGACAGCTTTTGTAGTGGTTATTGCACTGTAGGTCGGGAGGATTTCCGTCTCTAGCTTTAGATCTAATTTGTACTGCTGAGGATGCAGGGCTTCCTTCTGGGGTGTCAACACACATGTGCCTGCTTTGGTGGAGGACCCATGTCCCTGTCCCAGGTCTGCCAAGGACTGAGAGGACAGCGATAGTCTGCTCTACTCCCTCACCAGGGTGGGAGGCAGGAGATAGAAGGCTTTCCCATAGTGGCACACCACATGAAGGGCGTTGGCTAAGAGGTTCTCAGATTCTGTGACTTCTGCTCAGAAATGCTGATCTTTCCCAATGAAGAGAATGATGCAATATAGAGGAAGAGGAAATAATTTGAAGTTTGTTCCTCTGTGGTTCAAGGGTAAGGTTCTTGGGTGTGTTACATCATTAGATAAAAAAGCATCATAAATCACTGCCTTACGACTTTCAAAGTGCCATTCAAATACCTCACAGCTGTAAATGACATAAACTGAAAGGCACTTTCTTCTGAAGTATGATAGTGTCATTCTTGCTAAACATGTTGGCTGACAGTTGGTAGAGCAGGGGCTCACACGCTCCTGTGCACACAGCACCTCTCAGACACAGACAGGCACACGTCCCCCAGTTCGCAAGTGAAAACAGGAGGGTGCTGAAAGCTTCTCTACCGTGACAGTTTCCCTAATGGCCTGTTGCTACTCTGTACCAAAAGACCATCCATGCCTGAGTCAACCTGATGAAGAAGGGACCTTTTTTGACCATCAAATAAAGAGGTAGACATTTTGGTTGTTGTTTTCTAGTATTTACTACTAGGCATACTGTTAACATATCTATATACATACTAGTATTTACCACTACTGAACTGGTCCATTTGCAAGCATTGGCAGGTTTGTTCATTTTAGTTGCAAGATTTGTTTAAAGACAGAATATTTGTCTTTTTCTGCCAACCCACCAGCTCCTGGAGGGCTGAGATC